TATTACAATTATTATAAAAATAAATATTATTTTTTAATTTATTAAAAATATTTTTTAATTTATTTTTCGTTAAATATAGGACGACGTCAGTTTGCGAAAATGTTTTATACTTATGGCCAATGTTATTTCAAATTATAGGAGCATGCTACAAAGCTAAATATTCTTTGTAAGAATAGATATTTGTTTCACAGAATAGATATTTGTCTTACGATCAAGACAAATTAAATCTGATAATGAAAGATGTCATAGGTAAACTGCATTATTCATTGATTTATAGAACAACTCTATTATTTATTATTAACTTTTGATGAAATTCTTTCAAATTCAGTTATCAATCAATAAGTGAAAATAAATTTCAAATTCTCGTGATCCGGAAATATTATTTTTTTCACAGATGACACTTGTATAAATATTACCAGACATTAAAAAAAAACCTAGAAGTGAAATTTTATTTCACTCCAAACGAATGAAATTCACTCCAAAGGAATGAAAATTTTCCATTCTTTTTTCAAAGTGAAAAATATTTTCACTCTTTTTCAATGACTGGCTCAATTTTTATTTTTTTTTAAGTGAAATTTCACTCTAAGAGATTTTAAAGAGTACTCCAACACAAAAGAAAACTTTTTTCATATATTCAGCTCTGTAAGTTTTTTTGTCATTTTTGGTAACATTTACAAGTGTCGTCTGTGAAAAAAAATGATATTTCCGGATCACGAAAATTTGAAATTTATTTTCACTCTCATTCCAAAAAAGTGAAATCTCACTTCAATTGATATATACCACTTGGTACATATCAATTTTCAATCTCTTTGAAATGGTACATTGTCCTTTGATACTTTAATGCGTTCTACTTATGAAATTTGAAATCTTGAAAGGGTGTCGATATACGTGCCGGAATCATCATCCATGTTGCAGCATTTCATGGAGTGGTTAACCGGCAGAAGACCGGAATTAATTGATCCCACTATACTTGCGTCCGGCGGCGGCAGAGAACGTAAGGAAATGTATCAAAATTTCTCGTTGATGTGTTATGTAATGTTAAATTAATTATATTTAGAAGGCTGGAAATGTAATAGAATATAATCAACAGTGTCGTATTTGTATTATAAAATTAACTCAGATATCAACTAATTACATTCAGTTCTTTTTTTGGTCCATGTCGTCAGTCAAATTGGATCTTCATAAAATGGCTTAAATATGATTGGCTATCTACTTTCCTCTACTTTCAAGTTATTACGCATAGAAATGACTTTGAATTATTTTCACCGTTAGTGACCAACACTATCAAAATATTTTGAGACGTTTATAAAAAATAAATGTTATTCAAGATTAAATTATTAAAATTTTAAATTACACGAGAGAGAGAGAGAGAGAGAGAGAGAGAGAGAGAGAGAGAGAGAGAGAGAGAAGTTAAATAACAATGTAATATCAAAACTCGTGCTAGTTTTAGTTTTCTGGTTGCTTATTACCAGCGCAAGTATTGATTGACTGCTGCTTTCTGCTTTTCTGTTAAAGTCTGAACCCTAAGGGAGCCTTATATTGGCTGTATATAACCGTATGCCGTAATCTGTAAAAATTGACCAATCACCTTCAAGTATTCTTTTACCGCCAAATGAGAGGGGTATACTTGACTGTGATTAGTCAATTCTTACAGATTACGGCATACGACATGGCATACGGTTATGGCCAATATAAATGCTCCCTAAGTTTTGCGTTGCCGTTAATAATCCGGGAATTATAATTTTTTTTATGTGATTTTCTTTACGTGATATCGAAAAAAATTTTGGCGTTAGTCTAGATCGTAGAAAAGAGAAAAGTCAGTGCCACATCCGGACCGACCGCAATACGACAATGTTTTATAATAAGTTTTCCTTATTATAAAATACTTACAATTTTTAATAACGGAAATAACATTCATAAAATGTCGATGAGTGACTTTCTTATAAAATCTTATTAAATCATATATTAGAACAAGGAAGCCAATTTTATATCGTCACATAATTATATTATTCGATAAGTTGACTTCACGTCACAATGCGCCACCGTCTAGATCGTTCAAGCATGTATCTTCAAAGGACTAATGACTTTTACAACGCCTGAGAACAGTCGGATTTTTATATGACTTTTTAATGCTCTTCAGAGTCTATGTATTATCTTCAAAAAAAGTCAATCTGTATCAAATAACGTAAAGGCATCTCATTTTTTGTTATCTTTGACCCATAGTCGGGCAATTTATGTAACCTCTTTCGTAATCAAGTATTGTTGTTATTGTACTTTAAAGAGTTCAAACTACTACCTAAAGAAGTTTCAAGCGGTATATAACATTTGTCAGAATTTTTGACGACATTGATGGAATGCAGTTCTATATTGCAGTCAATTCAGACAACAAGGCAGTGACTTTTCTCTTTTCCACATCTATCAAGAGACAGATAATGGCTCGAAGCTAAGGGAACGCGTAACGTTCTTAACACGAGACACTACCGGGTATTTACGTGGAGTTTCACGATTATATCTCAATGACGGCTATGTCGATCAAATTCTATGTACAGACTAACAACACAAAAATTTCCAACCGGTATCTAATCATGTAAGGAAAATCGTCACTAGCCCGGATAATGCCTTTCTTTCAAATTGTATCTATTTTGTAATATTACAGTTACACGCATGAGGGTCGAGGGAGTTGTTACCGTAATGCTCAACGTCGTTTTGAAGGATTTGTTCAAACTAGGTTACGACAACGGTGAAAAATGGAAGAAATGATAACGCCACATAAATCCTCTCAGTCTAAAAAGGATTACCTAGCCAAGGGACTATCTTGTCAAAAAGTTATTTAACGATATATAATTTCGTTTTATAAATAATATTTGAATAAACAAGACGTGATTTTCTGTATAATTTATTGCTTTATTTTTCTTTGATATCAACAAAAACGAGAAAATTACGAAATCAAGATCATATTTTCACATTAATGGATATTCTGTGTAAAAAAAGACAAGGAAATGAGGCTAATTCCTTGCAAAGAGCTTATTAAGTTTCACGTAGTTTTAATCCATGAGATGATTCTGTATGAAGCCATGTGGGCGGTCGTGATAAGTAACCAATTTTCTAAATCGTGTCTGCAGATTTCCAAAAATGTATATTTCTTTTAAAAATTATAAATTAACGAATAAAAATAATAAGATGTATGATTGAGAGTATTTATTATCATGCTTATTTCATACAGTATGTATATATATATATATTGTATATATTTTATTTATCATTTATGAGTAAGTACATAAATTAAATAGTCTATAAAATACTAAATAATATAATAAGTATTTGATAAATAAATAAGTACTACAGTTGGATAATAATATAAATATAAAATGTTTTGCAATAAATCCGCTAAAAAGCAAATTTAACCTTGTGTGTGAATCATTGTTTTTCATTAATGTCGTGTAAACCGTGTGAGTTATGCTTGTACCATATTTCTCCTATTAAATTAGTTGTGAAAAATCGAAAAAAATTTCTTTTATTGTTTTATATCTTTACTTTGTATTCTAAACTCAGATATTATATTGTTTTTTTTTATGTAACAAAGGGAAACTGTAACTGTTTCTTGAAAGACATTCATATGTACGATGATTATAAAACATTTTATATTTACATTATTATTCAACTAGTGCTTATTTATTTATCAAATTATTTATTTATGAAATTTTATATAAAAATATAAAAACACTACAATGCAGAATAAAACTGCAGTTTATTACATCAGGAATTTTTGTATATTTGGCTATATAAATTAGTTAAAAATTACATAAATTTTATCTTTTTTAAATATTTGCATTGTGTACAAACTAAAATGTAATTTGAAAATTTTTTTATATTTTTACATTTTTCTTATTTATTTTATTTATATTTTTATTATTAGGTTTTGTTTGTAGTAATAGTATTAGGTATACAACTTTGCTTCCGCCGTTTTCCTATAGATGGCTTTAGGTAAGTGATGGTCGAAGTAAATAGATCATAGACGTCATACAATAAACTTGGGCATCTGTCAACATAACCCCATAGAAACATTAGTCGATTTGTGTCTGCATCATAAAGTTATTCTCGATTGAAAATGTCAGTTTACGAGCCAAATTCTCGTCATTTGCGGGAGGTTTTAATTTTTTGCTTCAATATGAAGAAATCTGCGGTTGAGGTTCATCGAATGCTCTCAAATACTTATGGTGAGGCCGCTATTAGTGAAAGAACGTGTCGTGAGTGGTTTCAACGCTTCAAGAACGGTGATTTTGACGTCCAAGGTCATGCTCTGTATTTGGTGGGACCAGCTCGGCGTAGTGTATTATGAACTGTTAAAACCGACTGAAACAATCACAGGCGATCGGTATCGAACGCAATTGATGCGTTTGAGCCGAGCATTGAAAGACAAACGGCCGCAATACAACGAGAGACACGATAAAGTGATTTTGCAGCATGACAATGCTCGACCCCATGTTGCGAAAGTGGTCAAGACATACTTGGAAACGTTGAAATGGGAAGTCCTACCCCACCCGCCGTATTCTCCAGACGTTGCTCCCTCTGACTATCACTTGTTTCGATCAATGGCACACGGCCTGGCTGACCAGCACTTCCGGTCTTATGAAGAAGTAAAAAATTGGATCGATTCGTGGATAGCCTCAAAAGATGACCAGTTTTTTCGACGCGGGGTTCGTACGCTACCCGAAAGATGGGAGAAAGTAGTGGCCAGCGATGGACAATACTTTGAATCATAAATGTATAACCAGTTTTTTACAATAAAGCCTCGAATTTCGGAAAAAAACGGCGGAAGCAAAGTTGTACACCTAATAATAAAAAAATTGATGAGATACGATTTAATAAGTAAATTAGGTCACTGATGGTCCCTATTAAAACCTTATCTATCTATATTTATTTATAAAATATATAAGCCATTGTATCGATTCAATCTATATTTATGGGTGAGTGTATTTACTTACCATATTCAATTCTTTTTATTTATTTAGTGTAATCATAGATTGATTAAATATAATGACAATATAAAGAAAACCTTAAAGATACCTTTAGAAAAGAATAAATACATACATATAGCAAAATCATTGCACGTATGCGTTATCAGTATTTATTCAACAATTTGTTACATTAATGTACAATATAAATACGATTCAATAGATTATTCATTTTACTGCAAAACAGAGAATTAACGAAACGATACATAACTCAACATAAAAAAATGTGTTATGGATACTCGTGCGTAACATAACTGTAAAGAAATAGTAATGTATACAATTTTACAATTTTCAACATTTCGACATTCACTTCAAAATTTCTTGCGTAATCATAATATAACTTATTTCAGCTGCTTTCGGAAAAAAGAATTTTTGATTGTCGCATGCGACAAACAGGGTAAATTAACAGTAACAATTCGAAATTCGATATAAGAGTGAAAATCTTCCACTTTAAACTTTAATCGAACGATATAAATTGTTAGAGAAGATTTCTTTTGCTTACAAATTGATTATCTGTAACATCGTTTGCCTACATCATTGCTGATAGTTCATTAATTACACACAAAAATTGTTGCTTTGCAACTCGATTGCTTATATGCATTGTTGCGCACAAATATAAAATTGAAAAAGATATAATACGTTTGCACACATGACATTATTGTGTACATTACCTACAAGCCCTTTTACAAAATTTCAGAGGCGAAGTCACATTTGCTTATATGTTTATTTACTTTCACTATTGCCTACAGATCGATTGCATACAAATATTATTCTCTGCTTTAAAAACACAAGTTCTCTTTAAAAATGCAAATTTTCTGTTTTAAAAACATATACTATTTTCTTATATAATTTAAATGCTTGTAGGCAAAAATCGAGTTGTAGGTAATAATATTATGTGCAATGCAGTTTATGCGCGTAAACGTGCCTTTTTCTCTTAATTTTATATTTGAGCGTAAAAACGAACTATTGGCAAATATGATGTAGGCAAACAGTGTTGTAGGCAATCAATTTTTAGGCAAACGAGGTCCTCCCAAATTGTTATATCTACATAATACGTAGTAATGTTATATCTCTGCATTCCAATTTTATATACTCCATAGTAGAGAGAAAATTAAAAAATAAAATAAAGTTATAATTCTTGTGCGTCGATCTGAATCCTTTATAAACTAATGGAGCTTGTATAATTTAGTAGAGAATACTCTGCGATAAGGGTACAGTTGATATTTTTATTTGCTATCTTAATTTTTCTTGTATACTAGATTCGTTACAAGAAGATTCTCCGCGTTGTCTACGCTTATCATTAAATGTTTAAAAATATATAATACCTAAATCCCGCTACATTCATCTATATATATTAAATAATTTTTATCATATAATTGTTTGTCACAAAATAGAATTTTAATAATCTAGTTTGAATGAATTGTTTAGTAATTGCTTTTATGTAAATCAACATTAAATTTTCTTTTAACAAACAATGATTTTCATAAATTAATTTTACTACTCAAAGATTTATAAATTTTGTTAAATGTTTGCAAATAAAAAAAACAAATACTGTATTTCTAATATTACTGTGAAAGAAATAGATTATTGCAAGAAAAATTCTGCGAAATTATCTGTAATAAAAGGAACGCTGTACTAACAATGTATAAGGAAAATGTGCTCTGATCGATTTCTAATTTTAAAGATTACACGTACATAATAATTTTATTGGAGTAATCAAAATTTAAATACAGTCCCGATGAATTTTTCTCAGAATTTTTATATGAATTGGAACACTTTTCAGGAATAATATAGAAAATTTACAATTTTAGAACTTGTTAAATATGCGAATTCTGAATATTCTAAAATTTTTGATAATATAATTTTTGAAAAAAAGTATATTAAACTGTTTTAAATTTTATAAGATTTCATTAGAAATTTTTAGAATAAGAAATTTTAGAAATTTTACAGAATATTTTAGAATTCACATCTTTAATATGAAGAATAAAAAATATAGACGGCACTTCTTGAAAAGTGTTTCAATTTGTATAAAACTGAGAAATTTTCTAAAAAAATTTACTCAGATATTCTGAAAATTTCGAATTTATATAAAAAAATATGAAAAATTATATGAAAAGATCCGAGAAAAATGTTCACCAGAGAGATCTGAAAATAATTTTGTTATATAATTCTGACTATTGAAATAATTATGTGAAACGTTCTAGTTGAATGCTAAAATATAAAAATTTTATATTCAACAGCGTTCTTCATCGTGCTTGTATTTCCTACATAATTATATTCTTCCATAATTATTTTGATGGTTCCATTAAAAATTATTTTCAGATTTGCATTTACCTAAATTTTTAAATACTTTAACAAAATAGTTCTTTTTGTGTAAGAATTTAATTTTTAAAAATTATAATGAAAAATAAATTTAAAAATTATAATCAAGTATCAATTTCTCTCTTAATCCATTTATTTTCAATTTTGGAAAGAAACAAATGTTTAGACTTCTACAAAATCAATTAGCTACTAATCTGTCTGTATATTATCTATCAATATCGTTGCTGTCGTTTTTGATGTTATCCACAGGTTTCGCGTTCGGAAAGAGACGGAGCAACTCGAAGACAACGCCGTTCGTCCATCCGAAACCGTCCTGTACGTTATATTCGCCGCCACCACCACCCTCGCCTGGATGCATGGCGTTATACTGAAATTCAAAGATTAATTACTTCGTATAATCGGGCATTTTTGATTCGCAAAACAAATCGCATCGCATCGTGCAAAAGTAATCAAGACTCGCATTCTATCACTTCCTCCGTAATTTCATGGCGTCATAGCAGCGAATTAATTCGCGTTGAGAAATACTTATCTTGCAATGGAAATCTAATTTCTCCCGATCGCAAGAGAACTTGGATGAACTTTTCTTAGTTAGTTAAACGATACTTATAGCATTGTCGTCTGAGCGATTGAGAGCTCGTCGAAAGTGGAGCGAATCTTCTTCGAAATGTTCATTCTGAGAGTAAAGGAATATTTTGTTTTAAGATTTCTCGATATTCATTAGAACCACATGTAAATTTCAATTGAACAGCATTTTTAATTGTGTCATTAGACGATAATTGTGTCTGTTCAATTTCAGTTCTAGAGCCAAAATGCAAAGCCATCGACGCAAAAAAAATTAATGTGGATAAGATTTCGTAAACTAAAGTGTTGATATATATCTGATATTGACGTTTATTAATACTTTAAAATCCATGAAATCTTACATTGAATTTTTCGATGGCTTTGTATTTTGATGGTTTTGGAGCTCAAATCGAATAGACCATGTATAGTGCCTCGATCTTTTTGCCATTTATTTCAAGTTAATCTTTATTGAAGATTATTTAAATATTTGTTTAAAAATTCGTTCTTTTAAAAAGCTAATTAAAAGAGAATTAACTCGAGCTCGACAAATAATCAGTTTTGCAAATGGAAAATATAATTTCAATTCTCTTACATCAACGCGTAAAATCTCGCAAGAGACGAAATACCTTTAGATCGAAGATCCTTTCTCATCTTCAGAATGAGGCGCAAGAAACTTTAATTGAATCGATTGAGTATGTTTGTTCAACAAAATAGACTGGCTATTTCCTGCGACAGCTCGTTATTGATACCGATGTCGACAAGATATAATCTGTACAAAGTACCGAAGTGTAAATTTCGTCCACCATTCTCTATAAATGACACTCATATAATTGTATCTTGTATTATGGCTTAAATTACGCTATTAAATTAGTTTTATTGAATAGTTGTGTTATTATAATGCGACTATGCCAGATAAGATTATAATGACTTTTAGTGAATTGTTGAAATATTAAACGTTTTAATGTGAATTAAAAGTTACAATCAAAATTATAATTATTTGTAAAATTATAGAGGAGAGTAATAAATAAATATGCGTGATGGCGAAATCATCCAGATGACTTTGACATATATTATCAAGATCATGATCTTGGTTTCCAACAGATTTAACCGTCGTAGTTGCTCGTTATTTGTTAAAAAATTATTAATAAAAAGAATTTTAAAAAACTTACTTCTTATTTCTGCCACATAGATACAATATTCAAACTATTATATATCCTCCCCTATATACGTAATGGTTTTCCACGCGAAGCGAGGACTCCATCTTCCCTCCTGCCTTGGGACGACTTTACATGCAAAACAAGCTTCACTTCCTTTCTCCTCCTACTTATTAAGAATGTCTGACTTTCTATACTAAACAAGAAACTCGAAAAGGTCTTAGCCTCGTATATAGCACAACTTTTTGTTAATAATTTTTTTTTTTAATGAAGAACGAGTAACTGAAACCTATTAAAGGTTCAATATATGTCAAGATCAAGGTCAGCTGGATGAGCTCTCTCCATTAGCATATTTGTCATGGAGAATCAATATTTTAATATTTATATTTAATTGTAATTAAATATAATTACATATTTAATTGGCCGATATTTAATTGTAATTAAGTAAATTTAATAATAAAATGAGTTTAATCAAAAGCAAATATCCTCTCCCTTGTACCTAGAGACACTTGTAAATATAATTGGAAAAAGAAAGGAAGATTATCAAACACAATTTTTGGTAAATTATATAATTATTGAATGTTTTAGCGTGTGAAATTACTATAATTGCCTTAGACACTAATAATACACAGTCGATCTTTACAATTAAATAAATTCCAAGATAAATTCAATAATTAAAATGGTACAATGAAAAGTAAATATTCTTGTGTATGTATTTATAAATATAATATGAAAAAAGGAAGATTCTCAAGTTTACTATTTTTAGTAAATTTAACTATTCCAGATTGTAAAACATAATAATAAACGTTACAATTATTTATGATATAATATCAAGTAATATCGATAGTTTAATGAAACTGATCTCTTTGCGGTTAAATAATAAATTCAATAATAAAATAAGTTTGATGAAAAGTAACTAGAAACGCTGTGCAGAGACGACAACGTGTAATTTAAAAAGCAAGAAAATTCTCGTTCTTCTTTCTATCTAATTTTGGTTATTACGGACACTTTCTTCTCAATATGCACGAGTATATGATAGAGACAATATTTTCCTCTTTTTCCAAGAGATTGGTAATATATAAAATATCTTCTCGCTGAGAAATGCGCCCCTAGTCGTACCATTCCCGCACGCAACCGTATTTTCCTCTCCATAAACAAAGGGTGACAAAACAAAACAGACGGATTAGAATGAGTCACATACACGCGCCACATATATGTCTGTACCTCGCACAATATTTCTCGATGGCTTTTCATCCTTCTCTCGTTTCTGTCCGCGTTCCAGTAGGGCAGCAAGGTACGCGGACAAAGGAAACGAGACGAGGTCACCCTCGTGCTAGACACGTCCGAGTGACCATCTCTCGCCTCATATCGAAATTCAAGACTCTTCCGAAATATACCTCATCAAGTTTCCATATCAAAAAGAAACACGAGAAGATACTATAGACAGCATCGGGACTAAAGTAAGTATTTATAGTAATAAAAATAGTGCTTTGTCACTGCGTCCATATTAAATATTATTTGCACTAATATTTTTATCATTGATATCAGCTACATATGTATTAATATTTAAACGCCGAACTAACAAAGTATATTTTGAATAAATAAAAGAGATCTTTATAGAGATCTTTATTGCGAAAAGTGAAATTAACTTTGAAACAATATATTGGATGCGTAATCCACTTGGCATTATAAATGCTTCGAAGTATTTGATTGACTAATCGGAAGAAAGAATTTTATTAATTAACAAATAAAAAAATACTTCAAATTAAGCATTGTAGCATCAAGTGAACTGCAACTATTATAAGTTAAATAAACATGAAAAACAAAAAGTATTAAGCCAAATAAAATGTGACAAAAAATATAAAAAAGAGAGATTTATATTGCGAGAGATGGATGTGCAATATAATATAATACTTATATTATAATACCTATATTATAAATTAAATAAATGTGAAGAACAAAAATATTAAGTCAAATAATAAAATGTGGAAATAAAAAATATTATGATTACAATAGATAATAAATAAAAAAATACAATAGATAATAAATATAAAAATAATAACAGATACATAAACATATAAGTATAAAAATAGTTAATTTGTACTTTCCCGGCAAACGAGAAATTATTGAAAAATGTTGAAAATTATTTATTGAAGCGATATCGAATCAAGTTTTTGAATTCAAATTTTCGATCCAAGTTTTCTATCCGCTTGAACCAGAATTATATTAATTATGGATTATTTATGCTTTCTGTATCTCTTTCAATGAAATAATAAAAATGAAACGTGTGACCAATCTGATTGAATCCGTATTGCTAATTATTGCTAATTTATTTTTGGCAAATCTTACCCAATGTTCAACACAATGAACGTGCGACTAATTCATTCGAATTTAACGTGCAGTATTGAAGAATTATCAAACAAGGGAGACTCTCCAACTGCTGGTCGCCGATCATTAAAATGCATGCGTATTTTCCAATGATAAATCACTTTCTAAAATCACAGACTTCCACATATTTTCATTTCTGAATCTATGTATATAAACCCACTAAAGTTCATATTATTATATTTATCTAGACGTATAGAAATAGATTCAGTATATTCAGTCTCTACAAAATTCAATACCTTTTTCGCGGAAAGAGATAATACGGTTTCGAAAATTTGATTCATACGTATTTATCTAATCCAATTTGTACTCATTAGTTGAGTTTATTTCTCATTTTATATTTTATTATATATAACTTTTTCTTTTTTTTTATTAAAAAACTACTTTTTTATAGGAATTAAATTCATTATACATTTATACATTTTGAACAACACATCTTCGATTAGCTCGAACTATAGATATCTGTTATCTGAACTAGTATATGCTTTTGGAACTTAAAATGAGATCGATATTATATGTTTGACATTTGGCGAAAGCGAAACAGAAAGTTTTTGTGCAGGAATAAAAAAAGTTGATGCAGATTTGATGCATCAATATAGAATTTATCATTCTGCTTGAGAGATTCAATATAGTTCCAACGCAAGTAGTCGTGTAGAACATCAGTCGCGATTTGTCAGTACAAGAAATGTTTTCCTTTAATCTTTTGGTTCCCAGCGAGGGATCGATCTAACATGAGAAAAAGAGGCTTACCTTTTCGAACATCTTGCCATATTCGTCGTAACCCAGGTAATTTGATTTGAGCCACCTGTCGGCCAGTATCTTGGCCCAGTCGACCGCTTCTTTTACTTTAGTTTGATAGAGACCCAGAATCAGGAAAGATTGCAATGGTGGCCATGCGTTCGGGAAATCCCATTGTTCGCCAGTATAATTTATGGAGGATGGCGTGCCACCTGTGATCAGACGAGCATATCGTTTTCTTAGGTTAATGTTTGTAACGCAATTATGCCTTGATTCGAGATAATCGAATTCGAGAGATTAAAATCAAAATCAAGCGTGAAAGTATGTCTTAATCTCTTTACACCCCAATGATTATGTTCGATTTCCGACTTAGCTGATTTTTATCCAAATATTTTTCTTTTGAGCGAGACAACATTTGATAACTTTTATAAAAAAAGTCTAGCTTATAAAAAAATATTGTAATTTTAAAATTTGCAATGTATATAAGAAATATCAAACAATCAAAATAATAAATATCTGATTGCATCGAATATTATAATAGGATTTCGAAAAAATCTAATGTACCAAATTAAAAATTTAAACTTAAATGTCCTACAGTCCTAACTACAATAAGTTAAATTCTATTAAATTATAAAGTAAAACCCAAGTGATATTATCTTTGTTATTTATAACTCTAATTATATTTAATTTTAATTATGTATCATTTGTATAAAAAATTTGATATCAATTGACGTCAAGTTAAATTCCACAAAATTTTATATATCATTCGTATAAAAAAGATTTGATATCAACAACTAGTTAAATCTCAACAACGCCAAGTTAAATCTCATATCAATTATACCAAATAAAAAGGAATGTAATTCAAACATGGTACCTACCATGTATATTTTTAGCGCCTTTTTTAAAAAAATAATCTTTTACACGAATGATACACAAAATTTTGTGGAATTTAACTTGGCGCCAATTGTTATAATACCAAATCTTTTCTACGAATGAGATATATAATTAGAATTAAGTAATGAAGATGGTATTTAGGTTTTACTCTTAATATATATCTTAATTAGTTAAGTTTGTATATCATTTGGGTTTTTTAATTTTTTAATTTTTAATTTTTTTTAAACTTTAATTCTCTCTCTATCAAAAATGATTACTCTTCGAAAAAAAATCAATTATTGTTTTTTTCGAAGAGTAATAATTTTTGACAGAGAGAGAATTAATGTCATGTACTTGTGTTGGAAAGATCTTCAATAAGAATATCTTTAAAGAAGAATTAAAATATTGATTATGAATTAATGAGATAACACAACTTCGTGAAATTAGGTATCCGCGGAACGCGCAGTATTCGATGGATTAATTTTAAGAAAAACGAGTGAATGGATCAATTGAATATTGGAAGTCCAAATTCAGATGTTAAAAATTCGGAGGTTAGAAATCTCATGGACAAAGAAATTCTGATATGGGAGGATATCGAAATATATGCATTCAATCGAATTATTGATTTAATCTGATTTATAGTCACTGCATGTATTTGAGGTTTTATATTGAAAGAAGGAAAGGAAAATAAAATTTTGCCATTTACTTAGAAGGACAACATTCTACTTACCAAAATACAAGTCGATCTCGTTTCTTTTAATATAAGAAACGGATTGCAATGCATATTCATTTCTCTTATTCCAATCGTAACTCATGGTGTACAGAGGCGACAGATTCGAAGTATAGAATATATTCCTGGACTGCTTATTTTTCATGTCGTAATCGAGCCAAATTTTCTCATCCTCATTCCACAGTACGTTGTCAATGGCAGCTTGATATTCCAAGGCAATCTGGGCGTAATGCCAATTTTTCTGAAATAAGAAAGAGAAGAAAATGGCAACAATGACATGTGGACGTCGTCTGAATGTAACGCAATCAATAATAAATGATTTGGGACAAAAATATAAATGACATATTTCGCCATTTAACCAAATTGAAGTTACTTCTTTCGGTTTTTTACAGACAATCGTTTAAAACATCTACGATCAGCCTGTATTTCAGCCTCTGCTCGCTTATTGAGATTCTCTTATATTACGTAATAAATGAGGATTGAGAATAGTATATCATATCCTGATTTTCAAAGTAATATTACCATATCGCGCTTTAATGTAATGCGGCAATAAATACAGCATTATGCATGGTTTCTGTGCTGCACGCAACGCGCAATGTTGTTTGAGTATCTGATTGTGAGTGAAAGGCCAGAAAGTGATTAGGCCAGTCTAAAGACCACTAAAGATTTTAAAAAGAAAGAAATTATAAATTATCTTATGCCACTTTTAATTCTTCGATGCACTTAAAACGACATAGAAGGTAATAACTAAAAAAGCCTATTTTTGCCGTTTTTTCAGGAAATTTCATTATTCTTATCTTCAAATCTGTATCTTCAGTTTTATTCGTAGTACAAAGCTCGATAGGTACTTATTTTATAGGGCATTACTCGATAGGTATTTAGGCGTATTAGGGCATAGCAGCAACAAAAAAGTTCTCTTGTCATTTTTCGTTATCTCTTCTCGTTTTCAAATTTTAATCGAAAAACAAGAAAAACTTTGTTAACGTGTCCAAATGCCTCCCTTAATGTTGTAGCACTTTCTAATTTAATTTTTTTATACTTCAAATTTCGATTAAAACAAGAAAACATTTGTTTATAATTTCTTCTTTCTTCGCCGTCATTTTCATTTCTGACGAAACTGGCCTAGGTGTAACAAAAGGTTACCTTCACGTTGCCCAGGATAACGTGAAAATGGGCGAGCATCCTGGCGTTCCGCTGTAATATCGCATTCAAATCGACGGGTATGATGTCACTTGTGGAGACGTTAACGAGACTAAGATTGGCGTTCTTGTTAGTCCGTATGCACCATCTATAGGAGAAGTCCCAGCCACTCTCCGCTGCGGCTTTCAAGTTGTTGTAAATTGATCCACGTTCCTGCTCCAATACTTGCTGCACCAACTGATAATCCTCCCTATAAGAACACGGACACATTTGTTCTTACGTACTATCTCTTTTAATTAAAATGATAATGAAAGACCTGCTGTGATCGATGCAGGTGTCGAAGTGAATTCTGTATAGAACAAACCGTTGCACGAAAATACCGTTGCACGGTATCATTTATTATGTACTGCTTCTCAACTGAGAACTAAAAGACGCTATAATGTGGATAGGATATTTTAAGAGAATAATTTTGGAATAACTTTATGAAAAAAGACGTTTATTCTGGTGCTGCTGATACAGGAAAATGTTTTATTAGGAATGCAATAGCTATCCGGCAACTATCCAGTTTCCGGCCTATCTGGTCAGTTTTGTTTGTACAAAAAATGACGGCTGTCGGTCAGGGCTGTCGCAACGTGAGAGCAACAAAAGGCCGCAGCACAGAGTCATAATGTATAGTGCATAAAAGAATCAACCAATTAAAGTTCTTCTTTTTCACTCTTCTTTTAACTGGAAGGAAAAGAAGAATTTTGATTGGTTGATTCTCTTATGCACTATGCATTATGCGTTATGCAAAAATACGTTACGGCCTAAACACTAAAATCAGGCAAGGGGATCCTAAAGAGTCGTATTGAATTATTCATACTGAATTCAATTGTATTAGTTATATTCAAAATAGCACTTACACACAGACAATTTACGTGTCATTGACATCACATTTCACTCACGTATGCCACACATATACATAAATTTTTGTATAACAATTTAATTAGATGTCAAACGTTTTAATTAGATGTCTAAGTCCAATTTTAATAACTCCACACTGTTTCTTCATGCAAACTACTAGCCTCTGGATTACTATTTCGTAAGACGTACAAATTGCATAGCTTTTATATAAAACAAATGTTGTCACGACATGTGACAGCTCTGGATTCATATTAGACTAAAAAATAGTAAAGAAGATCTTAATTTTGAAATTTTTTGTCATTCTCGGCATAAACTCCACTTCACAGACATGTACATTAATACGTATACTTTAATTCTGGAAAAGGATTTTCAAATCAGTAAGAGAAAAAAGTAATTAAATTAAGAAAAAATACTAATGCTTGTTTCCACCAATTTATATTAACTTTCTTCTTGGTTTCCTAACAAACGAAAATGGATTGAAATGAATTGAAATTCAGATTTTCAGAAATATTGATTCACGAATGTTAAAATGAATGCTTTTTAATCCTGAATGCATTTTTATTCATTTATAGGAATTGCATAGAGCATATCTCTATGTCTTTCAATCTAAAAATAATATTAGCTTTTTCTGTACGTTGTGAATACTGTTCAATTCAAAATTTTGAATAAGAAATGCAGTTTTTCAATCCAATTGCATCCAATTGAATCCAATTGAATCCAATTAAATCCAAAAAAAAAGTATTCGCTATTTAAAATACGCATTCGGATAGAAAAAAAGTTTCAATCCATTTTAATCCATTCTCGTTTGCTGGAAAGTTATTTACTTAATGTAATTGTAAACAAAACTGACCGGATAGACCGGAAATTGGATAATTGCGAGATATCCATTGCATCTCTAATAAAATTATATTCAAAATTTTTTGTTTTCGAATTTTTTCTCCAACAGTTATTCACCCAGGAAACTTCTTAATATCTTTGTAACGTTTTGATATTTTTTATGAAAAAAACTTACTTGTAGCTTTCTGGTCGAGGTCCGCGGCTGTTTACTACATAATGCGCCATCTTATAGATTTTACCATTCTTTCTTACATCTACTGTCTTATTTTGCCAATATTCAAACTCCTTTTCAAGGATTGCTATATTTTTCTTTAGAAATTTGCGATCTTTCGTGTGGTCATAATACTTTGCGACCTAAAAAACATTCGCGTCGTTAAGGCAAAACAGATTTTGAGTTCTTTAAGAAATAGTTCGAAACAAAGTAGAAATAGTTCGAAACATAGTAGATTATACGTAGAAGATTCATTAAGAAGGATCTCTATACAAAATACAAGACTTGAATGTTTTATAATAAAGATAGAAACTTGGACATTATCCGGTAGTACGTACCATTGGTATTAACAACGGCGGTTGACTTCGCGATAAGTAATAAACTCTGCCACCATTCGGTACGAAACCGTATCTCTCTACTATAGAGAGGAAATTCTCGATCATTCCTTTAACGGTTACATGCATGTCGCATAACAAAAGTCCCTCGATTATCCAGTAGCTATCCCAGTAATAAAACTCTGTAGTAAAATTTGATTTTTCATTTCATAAGCTTTTTTTCTCTTCTTTTTGTACAATTGAAATTTTTTAATTTACTGAATTATGTAGAAGCAACACGCATAATGATCTCCAATGATAAAATAAATAAGTTTGAAAGCTACATACACAAGGAATATTACAAGGAAGATATTCTAATTTCCCCCTAATATGTTCCATGCCGTGTTAATTTTATGAGACCGTGTCTCCTGATTAAAACTTAACTATTATGCCGTGTGAATTATCGATGTTTTGATTTGTGTTAATTATTTATTTATTAAATAACAAGTATTTCATAACGATTAAAGAATTACAAATATTATTATTAAATATAAATAAGGAGATGTAATATTGTATTGTCCGAAAAGTTTATGCCGATGTTAAAGGAAAATTGAAACGCAGAAAATTTAAATTTTAGTATACATTTATTAAATTATATAAGTTAACCGGCATGAACTTTCCGGACAACCCAATAGATCAATGTATTGATCTATATTGTATTGTATCTATATCATGATTATGATTTTACGTATATATGATATATATTAAAAATTATTTTATAATTACAGAAACGTCACCGATATACCATATTTTGTTTTTAGACAATCTTTCTTAATAAAAACTAAAATTAAAATTTTAGAAATATAAGTAAAGACTAGAAAGTTACCACTATTAAATAATATGTAGCAGTTTTATAATATTATAATTATTTATAATTTTGCAATAATTCAACTTTT